GGTCTGCCTGTCTGCTGCCTCTTCTGCCAGGTAGAGGCTGCCTAGCTGTGCGCTGCCCATCTGATCGTCCTCTCTTCTGCTCATCTCATTTACACTCATCGGGGTATTACCTCCTTTTGCTGGAAATTAGGAGTCTGGCATATAAACTAAGCAAACTGATCTCTCATGATAAATGCCTTCCTTTCTTCAGAAGGCACTTTTACATGGTATTTCCAAATTGCCTTGCAGACTAGCTCCCTGAGTGCATATCTAGCTACAGTGAGAAGTTTAATTTGATTTTGCAAAACATTTATTTGCCTAACTGGGGCCTGCGTCTGATATGGTCATTCACCTCTTATGAAGGTTTAGTTTGTTTTTCCTTCTTTGAATTTGCTGCAGCTCAGAGTGCCCTGCCTAAGCAGTGTCATTAAAAAAATTGTGCTCTGAGCTAAAGTACTTCGGCTTTTTTTTCCTGGCTCATTATTTGCAGCAAGCAGGAAGGATTCTAAAGACTATTTCCCTTCCTGCAGCATGGGGACAGTAATGTCCCACCCCTGCTTCCCTGGGCACTCCTTCCTGCTGGTTTGCCTCCTGCCTGGCTCTGCTTGTGTGCTCTGTAACCAAACCCTGCTCCAGCTACAGTCCCATGGTGTCTTGTAAAAACTATTAGCAGCAGAAAAACTAAATACATAACAAGAGATTTTTCCATGGTGTGAGTTTGATGTTTGGCTGGCCCACTGACATATAAAATACCTGCTGGTGCAGATGAGTTCTGGGATTGCAAAGGTCCTTTTTTCCCCACAGTTTGCACAGTTTCCCTTGCAGCAGGGTGCTGGTCCCTGGGGGTTAATGGCAAGGGAACACCTCAGATCTGCCAGTGGTGTGGAGGGGCTGGGTGGCTGATCGCCCATGTGCCGACACCACAAGGGCTGGGGACACACGATGTCACATACAAATGCAGAGTCATGCCTCTTGCCTGGTACAAGCCAGCAAAGTAAGTGACAGGATTGTGGAGAGCTCCTATGCTAGGCGAAAGCAAACGGCAAAGCCTTTCATGCAGCCTGGTCTCAGAGTGATCCTAACAGGGCTAAGGGTATTTTTTATTTTATTTTTCTGAGAATTTCCATTCAAAGAAGAGACACAAAGACAGGCTGAGTTTTTATGTCTGCCCCAGGCTGGAGGAACCACTCACCCCAAGCAGGCTGCCACACTCCTGCCAGCACACATGGTGAACCCGAATTTCCTCTGGCCCCTTTGTTCAGTGGCCCATTTCCCATCAAACACAAAGCAGCACCCCAGAGTGTGTAATAACCAAGCACTCACCCCTTCTTCAGACAGCAACAAGCGTCTCAAGTACTGATTTGATAAACAGCGTGGAAAATACCGGGTTTTCAAGAACCACTTAGGTGTTCGTTATTTTGCCAAAATGAAAACGGTTGTGTGAGAGGGAAGCCTTCCCTGATTTCCATTTATTAGAGAAAGTAAGCTTACCTCCTTGTTTCCTAAATGTTTCCTTTCCTTTCCAGCACACTCCACTCTCCAAAACACCTCTCACTGCCTACGTAGTGGCTGATTTTACCGAGTCAGTGCATCACACAGGGTTAAGAGGAGAGGGGTGAAAAAGGCAGCGGGCGTAAGGGAGGGAAACAGGGAGCTCTATAGCCGACCTGCTGGAGTCACCCTGCAGACGTCTGCCAAATATATCTGCTCCCTAACCCAGCTTGATTCCCGAGCTTCCTCCTGCCTAGCACCCTGAGGGGGTCCCCTCCCAGTGCACCTGCTGCCACCGGCTGCTCCAGCTCCTCCGGAGTGACCCACAGCCTGGCCACATCTCTGACCCACAGGACTGTCCTGTGCCAGGAGTCTCTGGGCTCCTCCTGCCTGCCCTGGCATTTGAGTTAGGAGGTGAAATGTCCCTGTGCCTACAGCCAGTCCAATGGGTTGGCCAGACTTGACTTTCTAAAGGCACCTGACAGCTCAGCAGG